GCATCTTTCTTTGACCGGTAAGATACACCCGAGAGTCCCAAGGTAGAGGAACAGATTCTCTCACACCTCTACCAGGAACGCTGATGCCCTTCATACCTCTCCCTCACCTCCAGGAACACACTGGCCAATAGCTGTGGCACTGGCATCCGTTCTTCCACCAATGACCCCAGACGCAAGCCGCTAGACAGTCGCGTCCTCCATGCTGTCAAGTGTGAGTGTTTTGCTGGGGCCTGGGGTTGGCAGATGGGATTTGTTTTGGTTTTTGTGGTTTTCGAGACAGGGTTTCTCTGTGTAGCCCTGACTGTCCTGGAACTTGCTCTGTAGACCAGGCTTGTCTCAAACTCAAGAAATCTGCCTGCCTCTGCCTCCCAAGTGCTGGGATTAAAGACCACCACTGTTCAGAGGACTTTTGTTTTTTCCTTCAATGTTTGACATGACGGATGGGTGGGGTTGGGTTTGGTTGGTTGGTTGGTTTTGGATTTTTTTGAGACAGAGTTTCTGTACATAGTCCTGGTTCAAAAAAGGGGGTGGGGTGTCTGGGGCCAAAGAGGTGGTTCAGCAATTGAACAACCTGAGTTTGATCCCCTGCAGCCCTCCTACAAGTTGCTCTCTGCCACATATCCAAATAATGCTACATTTTAAAACTTGGAATGGGTTCTGGCTGGGTGGCAGTGGCACACTCCTTTAGCCCCAGCAATCAGGAGGCAGATGCAGAGGCCGGTGGATTTCTGTGAGTTCGAGGCCAGCCTGGTTTACAGAATGAGTTCCAGGATAGGCAGCTCTATACAGAGAAATACTGTCTTTAAAAACCAAAAGGTCGGGGGGTGTTCTGACTAGCACTCAAGAGGCTGGAACAGGAACATAAAGAGTTCAAGGTCAGCTACAACTACATTGAAAAGTGGGCGGTGGGGGGGGCATTTCTGAGGTTCTCTTGTGGCTTATTGAGAAAGAGGTTGTAAATAGGGATTCTTCATTTGGCATATAGTATGGAAGGGACCTGAGTGCCTTTGTCAAGGAGGATCTCAGTCCATGGTAGTCAAGAGAAGATTGAGGTAGCCAGAACCTATCAAAGGGCAAGTCTGGCAGTGGCAGCCACTTGTCAGGGAATGCCTAGGTTTGCACTGGCAGTCTCCCAGGCCTTGAATCTTACAATACTACATGTCCCTAAGTCGGTGGGCACCCAGGTGGGCAGCAAAGTTTGGTGTAGTTAGTGGTATCCACCGGACATTCATAGAAGCTGGGAGACTTAATAGGAGGAGTCTAGGCCCGAGCTGCCTGCTCTACTCCCACAGACTACTGCCAGAACTTCGCCCCCAACTTCAAGGAGAGCGAGATGAACGCCATTGCAGCTGACATGTGCACCAATGCCCGCCGAGTGGTACGTAAAAGCTGGCTGCCCAAGACCAAGCCACTGCACCTGGTGGAGGGTGATAGCTACAGCAGCTTCATCAACGACACTGGCAAGATAGAGCCGGACATGATGAGCATGGAACACAGCTTCGAGACAGCCAGCCACGATGGCGAGGTCAGCCCTTCGGCTGAGGTTCTCCAGTAACATATGTGTGACATCCCTCCCCTTACAGGATGTCACACACCCCTTCCTATCACATACCCCCACCTACCACCTGGTCACGATCTACTGTCTGTCCCTCCTCAGGACCTGTGAGGAGGTACTCCATGCCCTCTAGCAGGATGCAGTAGCTGGCTGACCAAAGCCACCACACCTAGCAGAGGGCAGCACCTACAGCAGCTTTCTCAGTGACAGTGAGAAAGAGCTGAACATGATGGGCATAGAATACAGCTTCCAGACAGACAGCCCCCTCAGAGGAGGTCCTCCAGTAGCCGCCTAGGATCCTCCCATGGATGTCACACTCCCCCTCCTGTCACACACATACCCCCACCACCTTAGTCACGAGCTACTGTCTGTCGTCCCCGGAACCTGCAGGGGGTGCTGCATGCTCCCAGCCTCTCTGCCTCCATGTCATCCCACACCTTTTCCCCAAAGCAAACTGGGCTGGGTCAAGAGAGGAAAGGCATCAGGTGGGATCTGTGACCTTACTCAAAACTCATGGAGAGCCCTGGTTCCCCTTCCTCTTAGGCATTTCCCAGCACCAGGCCCGGCTAGGGGATGGGCAGAGATCAAGAAGAGCCTGCCCCTCACTGTGTCTGCTTGGGACTCCATGGGCCCAGGGGTTCTCAGGACCCCTCCCACCACCACCCCCAGTGCTTCCATGTCTCCAAAAGCGCCTTCCTGTCCCTCTCGTCTGTCCCTGCACCTTGGGGCTGGGGTAGGTGAGGCCAAGAGGGACTGTCTACTTTGCAGATGAGGAAACAAGCCCAAAGGGCTTAGAGAAATTCTTAAAACTGACCCTCTGTAGCAGCCTCCATCTTACCCCTCTTAATCCCACCCTGCTCTGCCTCTGTGGGTTCCCTCAGCCCAAGAGGCTGGTTCTAAGAAAGCAGTGCTCCTGTGGGCAGACGAGAGTCTCAGGACAGGTTTCCAGTCTGGCAGAATTTGTGGGTGTGCGTGCGTGCATGCGTGTGTGCGTGCGTAGAGTGTTTGCTTTTAAAAACATGAAGATCATGAGGCAGCAAGACCAGGGTCGGAACTAGGGAGCAGGCTGAGAGGCTGTTGCCTTTCTCCCATCCGACCCTGGGCAGGGCTCCCAGCCCCCACCCCCTGTACATAACTTTTTGAAACATTTTTTTAGCGAATGAAATAATGAAGTATAAGATTTCCTTTTATTTTTCAAATCAATGGGAATGTGTCTGAGGTCCCCTGGGTCCCTGGGCTGTGGAAGGCAGGATGCAGGGAAAACTGAATGTGTGTGTGTGTGTGTGGAATGTGGGTGCATGTTTCCACAGGGGCCCATTCCCAGTGCCCCAGGACTCCTGTGGATCCAACCAGCTTCCTCTCCCCCAGGACTACAGTTTAAGGGTGTTCACAGGTCCCAGTTGGCTGAGCCCACTCCTGGGGGATGAGGCAGGGCAGGGTCCACATCCATTGTTGGTGGTTTGTGGAGCTTTCTCTGGCCGTTCCTTTCCACTCTTAGCTCTCCAGGAGCAAGCTCTTGGGTTTCTGAGTTTAATAAGTGAGCACAGGGTTTCTGTTACTCCTTCCCTTCATTAATGTCATTTCACCATCTCACTGGTTCTGTTCTAGCCCTGACCTCCTACCCTCTCCCCAACTCTGCATTCTAGCTGCCTCTTAGAGGCAAGGAGTTGCAGGATTGGAGAAGGTGGGATGGAGCCTTTTGAGTCAGATCTGGAGACCTGCCTCCAGGCCAGCAGCACCCTCTAATCTGCCAGGGTCCCTCTTAACATCTGATAGTGAGGGTGGGGTGTTGGGTCTGATTTGGCCCCCAGTACCTTAGCCCTGGGTGACCAAGTGGAGGGGAGTTGACACCCCTAGCTAAAGCACAAGCACCTTAGTCATACCCCCTCCCTCTACCCTTGTCCTGGCCTGTTGTCCCACCTCCCCCAGCGAAGATCCCAAAGCACAATCTCCTGGAAACTTGGCAAGCAGCTGAGCCTGGCCATGGTGAGGGCAGGCTGTGCTCCCTGCCCAGACTTAGTAAGGGGGCAGCTCCATGGGACTGAGAGGTCTTGTAGAGTGGGCAGCAGAGCCCATTGGTTCCAAGCACCTCAGGAGGTGGCCCTGACTCCCGGGGCTTGGGGTGGGGGAAGTATAAAGCCAGGGGTGCAGGGGAGAAAACTACTCACTAGGAGAGCCAAAGACAGGGTTGTGCCTTACCTCAGGAGCCACCCCTATACCCCTCCTCTGGGAGTCAGATGCTTGCTCTGCCCTCCTGAGAGCTGCATGCTCCCACCCCAAGCACCCAGGAGAGTGAAAAAGTAACCCACCTAGCAGGAAAGACAACTAGGGGCAAACCCAGTGGCTACCCTCCCACCCATCCACGCCTCTCATGGGGACAGCCATCACCCACTGGCCCATGTGAAGTGCCAATGCCCTTCCCACCCAGAGCCAAGCCCCTACCCTTCCCAGGCCCACAAGTGAGATTGCACATTAACTACTGTACGGAGAGGAGCGGTGTTGGGAAATGTGAACCCTGAGAGTCAGTGATGCTGATAAGAATAAACAAGACGCCTTTGTAACAGCCCTGCTGTGCTCTGCTCACTGGCGGGGGACGTGCTGGCCACCCATCCACGTAAACACCTGGCTTCTGACAGTCTACCATATGTTGAGATCCTTGTGCTGCCACCAAACTACAGTCAGGCCTGAGATCGCAAGTGTAACTGGAAAATAGGCAGGAGCGTGCAGAAGGCACTGGGTCCCAGGGCCCAAGAAAGGCCCCAAGAACAAAGAAGCATGGGGAAACAGTGGTGACTCATACCCAGGGGGATTGAAAACCAGAGGATTGGGAGTTTAGTCTCTCTAAAGAGGCAGTTGGGGGTTTAGCGCTCAAGTCTCCTCAGGTCAGTGGCCTTCACTGTGCCTTCAGACTAGCCCACACCTCTCCACAAGGAGTGTGCCTGTGGAGGTACATTCTTGTGAAGATAATTAAACAAGTTTTTTAATTCCCAGGAGCACCTGGGATTAGGAGGGTGGCTTGGTTTGTGGTGTATGAAACAGCTCCCTAACAGAGCTTAGGTTGGCCTATGACTTGTGACTCTCTTACCTTCTAATACCATGTTTCACTGAGACCAAGAGCTTGTATTTTGGTGTGATGAAAAGAAAGTCCATACTCTCTCAGAAATAGTGTTTGGGGGGGGGGGGGGGGGGGGGGGAGGGCTGGAGAGAAGGCTCTTCCAAAGGACCTGGGTTCAATTCCCATCACCCACATGGCAGCTAACAACTGTCTGTAACTCCCAAGATCTGACACCCACACACAGACATGCAGGCAAAACACCAACAATGCAAGTAAAAACTATATATATAAAACTATATATATATAACTATATATATAAAACTATATATATATAAAGGGTGTGACAAGTGAGATGGTTCATCAGAAAAGGGCACTTGATATCCAAGCCTAGTGGCCTGTCTTGGGCCCCCAGAACCCATGCAGAGGTAGGAAAGAACTCACTTCACAAAGTCATCTGACCTCCACATGTCCCATAGGAACATGAGTCTGCACACTAACGAAAACATAATCTTTTCTGTGTGAAATACAGGCACTTCAGTTCCCAACATACAGATACCTGAGTCCCTGAGAATAAGCAGGAAGCTTAGAAAAGCCACCCAAAAGACAATCCAAAGCTTGATCAACACTATATGGTACATAGTTTTATGCTAAATTTTATTTCTGTTGGCACGATTAGAAGGCGTAAAGGTGAGTGGCTTTGGGCAGAGCTTGTATAAGGTCTTCCCAAATCACCCTGAGTCACCTTGATCAATTGAATCAAGGCCTAAAGGTCCTACTAACTCTGGAAGAGATCCTTGGGTCAGCTTGTTCAGGTTCAGTCCAGAACATCCCAAATCAGAGAAAGGAGTAGGATCAGGACCAGGAAAACCACACCACAGGGGCATGTACTGTCTGTCTGAAGACAAGGGGGTCAGACGTCAAGAGGATGGCACCAGTTGTTGCCTTCTACCCCCATTCCAGGCTTTACCCTACAAGAACTCACCACTCGTCACTTGGGGGCATGTTAGCCATCTTTCTGAGGACCCAATCTATCAGTGACTCCTGTGGTCTAGATCACGAGTAAAGGTCTCCAAAATGCTGCCAATACCATGGTGGAATCAGCCCCTGTGCACCAGAGAAGCCAGAGGCATGTCCCCCAAGCCCTGGCCGCACATACCCTGCTCATCCAACTCCTCCCCAACATGACCCAACGTGTTTCAGAGCCTGGATGCTCCCAGACACCATTTCCAGCTGTTGATCCTAGTGGTCCATGGTCACCTGAGTAGAGAGGAGCAGCAGCTAGGAAAGATGAGGGTTCCACAGCCTTACCCTGCCACACCTCTCCAAGGCCCACAGCCCTGCTGGCTGGCTTGCTGTTGCAGATATCGAGAGGATTTCAGACTTCTGGGCAGCTGGCAGCGCCAGGGTAGGTTTGTAGCAAATTGAGAGGACAGTGACAAAGACTGGGTGAGTTGCTCCCCAGACCTGCCCTAAATAGCCATGCCACTTGACATGCCTCAGTTTCCTCGTTTGCTGGTTTGAGACAGGGTCTCACTATGTAGCTCTGGCTGGCTTGGAACTCAGAGATCTCTGTGTCTGCTTCCCAAAAGCAAGTGCCACCCAGTTGAAGAGAGTTCTAGTCTTTATTCCCCAAGAAGGAGATAAGGATGATTAAATTAACTCAAACGATACCTAGCACCGGGCAGTGGTGGCACAGGCCTCTAATCACTGCACTCAGGAGGTGGAGGCTGGTGGGTCTCTTGAATTCAAGGCCAGCCAGAACTACAGAAAAACCCTGTCTTGAGGGAAAAAAGAAAAAACTACGACTCAACAACAGGAAATACTAATACACCTTGATTTCTTTGTCTTCATGACATTTATTTACCTTGTGTGCACGTCTATATACTCACTCAGGGCACTACGGCACTAGCCCTTCTTAGTTAATTATTTTCACCATAGTCTAGGCAGGTTATCAACTTAAACATTTCTGCTTTGCCTTAGTATCCAAGTACCAGGGATTACAGATGCCTGCCATGTAGCCTAGTTTTGTTTTAATTCTGTATATGTGTCCCCTGTGCGCACCCACACTTCATTTAGGTTTTGAGTTTTTAAGGTGGTGTCTCTGGTATCCCTAAACTCCTAGCTGAAGATGACCTTGAACTTTTGATCCTGCCTCTTTTCCCCCTAGTGCTAAAGTCTTAAATCCTGGAGCCTTGAACCAGACATGCAGCAAGAGGAGGTCTTTCTGGACTTTCCTGACCTTGTTGATAGGAGGCTGGATCTCTTTTTCATTTTAATGTTCCAAGGCCCCTGTGCTAATCAGGTTCTAGCCCCTGAGACAGTAGGTCAATTGGCTAGGTTGTTACTGTTTCTGAGACCTCACTATGCTGTTGGTTCATTTAGTCAGCAGGGCTGCAGGAGTATATGGGTGGGGTGGAGAGTGTTTCCTGATACAACTTCACAGTGAGTTGGGGGGGAGGGGGCAAGATATGAAAGGTTTTTGCTGTATTTTGTTTTTAGTTTTTTCCCTTTCTTTGAGACAGGGTTTCTCTGTCTCAAACCCTGGCTGGCCTTGAACTCAGAGAAGTGTGTGCCACCAGGCCCGGCTGTTTTGCTCCACCCCAGACTAAATTAAGGAGAAATGTATAAGCACAGTGCTAGTAGACACATGCACACACAGTGCTAGTAGACACATGCACACACACAGTGCTAGTAGACACATGCACATAGTAAAAAGGGGTTTACTGGTTGTATGTCTTAAGTCCCGGTGGCCTGGAATGTCTAAGCAAACAGATCTCTGACTTTGAAACCAGCCAGGACCACATAGTTTGACCCCGTGTGTAACAGTTTAAAAAAAAAAAAGTAAATGAAAAAAAAAGTAAAATCCTCGGGGGCTGGAGAGATGGCTCAGTGGTTAAGAGCATTGCCTGCTCTTCCAAAGGTCCTGAGTTCAATTCCCAGCAACCACATGGTGGCTCACAACCATCTGTAAAGAGGTCTGGCGCCCTCTTCTGGCCTTCAGGCATACACACAGACAGAATATTGTATACATAATAAATAAATAAATATTTAAAAAAAAAAAGTAAAATCCTATAGGGGGTGGAAAAATGGCTCAGTGATTAAGAGGGCTTTCTAATTTTACAGAGGATCTGAGTTCTGTTCCCAGCACCCATGTCAAACAGCTTACAAACTCATAGAACTGCAACTCCAGGGGGTCAAATGCCTTATGGCCTTCATGGAAACCCACTGCATGTGTACATACACAAGAGACACACATGTACACGTAAGTTAGTTTAAAAAAAATCTCAGAAACCAAAAGACAAGGTCTGGGGCTTGTGCCAAGCCTGACCACCCGAGGTTAACCCCTGGGATCCACATGGTAGAAGGAGAAAATCGGCTCTCCTAAGCTGTCTTTTTTGCTCCATGATTCCACCACACTCAAAAGTACAAGCAAGTAAATGTAAAACATTAGATCTCTAGGCTTGATTGGCCTAGGGCTGCTGAGCTTCCTGTGCTCCCAGATTACAGGCATGAGCCAGCTCACCAAGACTACCATGAAGTTTGAGATGGAAGTTTCTCTGTGTAACCCTGGCCAGCCTGAACTGGCTACATAGACCACAATAGCCTTGAACTAACTGCAATCCTCCTGCCTCAGCAATCCTCCTGGATGCTGGAATTAGAGAATAAACCACCATGCCCAGCTCGCCATAGACTCTCCTCATCTCTAAACATCTCCCATGTGTTTCAACACAACAGATTGAAAGACAACGGGTTATGCCTACTAAGTAAAATACATCATTTACTTCCAAACGTTTTAAGGTCCTGAGAGCTTAGGTGTAGGCATCTATAAAGAGGCAGGTAGAGAACCAAAGAATGCACTGGGGCTGGACATTGACACAGAAGGGCAGGTACAGGGTCAGGCTGACAGAAAGTTAACACCTTGTGATACTTGGGCTGGATGAATCCACTGCCTCTTTATGATTCCTATCCATGAAGGCCAGTGCTGTTGGTCCTTCGTTTTCTGTGGATGAAGATAGCGTTAGAGTCTCGACACCCTGAAGCAAGCTAAATGTGGTGTTGCATGACTTAATACCAGCACTCATGAGGCAGAGGCAGATGGATCTCTTGTTGCATCCTGCCAGGTTCCAGTGAAACCCTGTCTTAAAAACAGACATACACACCGACAGAATATCGTATGCACAATAAATAAAATATTTTATGAAAAAAAAAAGGCAAAACACATCTCCCAACACACCCCACTAGGACATCATCTCACCTGCACTGTCTCCCGCTCCACACCGTTCTTTCCTGCAGGTCTCCAGCAGGGAGCTTGAACTTGCCTTGATTGGCCTCCACTATGTGTGAGCTAGAGACACATTAACTCCCTCGACATACCCCAATTCTCCAGCCTTTAAACACTACGAGCTGTCCAGCTTCCTTAAAGGGCTGGCTCCCATCGCCCCCTACTGTGGCCAGAGGTTCTGCCTTACCACCCTTCCAAAGCCCCAGGATATCGTTTCCTCCGGGTCCTCGAGGTCCCATTCAGTGTTTCCAAGGCCATTCTGCAGCTCAATCAAGCCCCACTACAATACTTCCCTGTCCGAGGTCACACCAACGCTGGTGCAGGGGGCCGTATACACCGCTTTCTGCACCTCGCACGGCTCGGGACAGGGGTCCTTACACCAGCCCCCAAATAAACCGAGGCCTAAACGCCCAACAGCCCTCCCAATTTCCTTCCACTCCACAGGGAGGAGACCCGTGCACCGGACGGCTATAACCGAACTGCCTGGCACACGCTAGCCCGCACCTTGCCACCGGCTAGGCTCGAAATTGCTCCCTTCCATCCCTTTCCCGCCACTGTCACTCACCCTCAGACCACAAAGAAAGGGTCCTGAGAGACATACCAACTCCCCTCCCCCCATTCGGCAGGTGCAAGAGCTCCTTCACCGCTAGCGAGCGGAACACACCTCCACCCTCTCTATGGAAGGCCACCATCGAGAGCCCAGCCACCAAGAGGGAAAGAGCGTCCCTAGAGGGCCAAAGCGTGTCGACTTCCGCCTGCACCTCGGCCATCTTGGTTGTGGGCGTCCAGTACACAAGCCTTCATGCCCAATGTCCTCCAGAATTGGGTCGATCCTTAGACTGCTGCTGTGGAACCTCAGTTTCATTTTTAGCCATTATCAATAATCCTAGCTTTCCATAAACCTTAGGGGATTACAGCAGGGTAAGGAGCTCGTTTGATCGATGCATTAAATTGAGCACAGCAGTTGAGAGCACTTAGTTTATCCATTAGGAATGGTGGTACACAACTTTAATCCCAGCACTTCGGAGGCAGAGGTAGGCGGATCTCTGTAAATTCGAGGCCAGCCTCCTCTACGTAACATAGTGAGTTCCAGCACACCTAGAGCTACACAGTGACCCTGCCTCAAATCTCCCGGGCAAAAAGAAAAAAAAAAAAAAAAAAACAAAAAACAAGAGCGCACAAGTTCGGTTCCCAGCACCTACATGACAGCTCCAGTGTCCCGCGCTCTGACGCCCTCTTCTGGCCTCCGCTGTCACTACAAACACGTGGAGCACAGGCATGCAAACATACTTTAAAAAAAAAAACCCACTCGGCAGACAGAGGCAGTCGGATCTGTATGAGTTTCAGGACAGCTGGAGCTATACAAGTAAGATCTTTCAAAATACTAAAAATTAATAAAAAGCAGTCGAGATGGCTCAGCGGGTAAAGACACGTGCCACCAAGCCTGAGTAACCGAGGAGCTTCCCCTGGAAGATGGGAGGAGGGAACAGACCCAGACACAGTACTTTGCCCTCTACGCCTGGGAGTGCAGGAGGGGTTCGAAGTTTTTCTGTAAACCCCACAGGTCCGGACTCATCCCGCATGACGGTGCCGCGCGTGGGCACAGCGTAAGAGAAGGAAACCATAACCACTGGTCCAGTGGAGAGTGGTCGAGGAGAGCTGACCGCTCAGAGGACGCCGTACCAACAGCACGGGAACACTCGGGACAGCCCTAGGGGGCTGGAAGCGAAGGACAGGAGGGGGTGTGGTCTACGATGGCGGCTCCGCCCTCCGGAAGTCCTTTGCTCTGTCTAAGCCGGTCGGCCCTTGTCCTAATATGGGTATCCGGAAGTGGTTCGCGGCGCCGCGAAACGTCACTACACCCAAATTTAGCCAGGGAAGTCGGCCCTGCTGCAGTGGCGGGAAGCCTACACGTTTTTGTGGGGGTGTTCCTTAAAGGACCAGCACAGCAAATGAAAGACAATATTAGAACTTTATCCTTTTGCAATTAGAATCAGTTTTTTTTTTTTTTGGCTCGTGGCACAGAATGGAACCGTTGTCTTTTCTTTGTGTATCTCTTTATGTGTGTGCTGAGTGTGTGTGTGTGTGTGTGTCTGTGTGTGTTCGGGCGCGCATGGGAATCGAACTCAGGTCGAGGCTTGGCAGCCAGTGACTCTACCCACTGAACTCTCTCAACGGCCCAGATATCTTTCTTGGGGTAATTCAGCTTTCCGGGGTGCGAAGGCAAGACACTGCGGTGTCGGCGGGAAAGGGTGGCAGGCCCTACAAAATTGGGACTTCCATGGCACTGCGTTGCGGGAAAACTGGGAGATGTATAACGCTGAACGTGAGGACAGCAGTCTCGTTGTGAATACAGGCGATTATAGGGGAGCTCCCTCCAGGTTCGGCCAGCGTTGTCGGCGCCCACTTTCCAACCATGTCCGGGAGGATCGAGATAGAAAGGCTGGAGGCTTCAGTTGCCTCTCCCGCCGCCGTAGTACGAGCATTCGTTTGTTTAGTAAATATTGCCTCAGGTGTCTCACCTGCGGAGTGGAGGTGAGGGGTCAGAGACATTAAATAAAGAGAAAGCTCAACAACTCCGGCGTGTAGTAACTACTTAATAAGTAGCAGCGTTTTTACTGTTCCGAGAATATTAATTAGCTGGCCGGTAGGCGCGAGGAACAGTGCCCTCGGGGAATGCACCCCGTTTCCGGTCTTCTCCACTGCAACGGAAGATTACCACCCCCACCACCCGTTGGTTAGTGGGTGGGCCTCATCGGCTGGTCCGCCCGTGAGTCTGAGAACCCAGACCAACCTGGGGTCTCAAGGCGCAGTGGGGGAAATTCTTCCTTGCCGGAGTTTAAGTCCATTCTCCTTCAAGGCGTAAATGTATTTCTATTTCTTTAAGGAGTCGCTGGCCACTGGAAAGCCCGGATGAGGCCTTCTGATTGGGCGTGGCATCTCGGTGACGTCATCGGGACTATATTAAAAGGCTCCGGCACGCTTCCCCCGCCGGAACTTCTAGCCGTGTACCTGACAGTCTAAGTTTGTTCTCTGGGCAGCACCGCCTGTCTCACTCCATTCCCGGCTCTCCTCTACGTTCTCGTCGAGCAAGCATGGAAGTGCAGAAAGAAGCGCAGCGCATCATGACCCTGTCGGTGTGGAAGATGTACCACTCCCGCATGCAACGAGGTGGCTTGCGTCTCCATCGGAGCCTACAGCTGTCCCTCGTCATGCGCAGCGCTCGGGAGCTCTACCTCTCAGCCAAGGTAGAGCCCCACCAACCCGAGTTCCCGCCACCCGGCCGGACCCTTGACCCTCGCCTGCACCCACCGCGGGAAGCCGAAGCCGCCGTGAGAGCGGCGCCCCCCGACGCCGAGCAGCCCCCGGAGCCCATGGACACACAAGAGGAGGCGCTGCGAGTCCAGGAGACCCCTGCGCTGTGTGACCCGTCCCCCGCCAGAGTCAGCCGCAAGCGCCGGAGCAGCAGCGACCTGAGCGACGGCGGGGACGTTGGACTGGTACCAAGCAAGAAGGCCCGTCTAGAAGAAGAGGTGGAGAGGGAGGAGACGTCGGAGGTCGCCGATCGCCTGCAGCTTCCTCCCGCACAAACCGAAGGTGCCTTCCCTAATCTCGCCCGCGTCCTCCAAAGGCGCTTCTCCAGTCTCCTGAACTGTGGGCCCGCCGTGCCCCCGCCGGCGCCCCCCGCGTGCGAGGCCAAGCCAGCCTGCCGCCCGGCCGACAACATGCTCAGCGTGCTCGTGCGAGCCGTGGTCGCCTTCTGAGGTTAACGAGCGGCGTCACCGGAGCCGAAAACGCACACCCGAGGCCAGGGCCGGCTGGGGAAAGCCGGCGGCCCGTGAAGAAGAGCCGCGGCCCGAGCTGCCAGAGGCCCGGGGGAAGGACCGAGGAGCTGGCGGCGCGGGCGCCTTCTCCCAGACGTGCGTCCGCAAGGTGCTGTTAAAGGACTGTCCCCTCCCTGGCTGGGAGAAGGGACACTTGGATCTTGAATCTCAGGGTCGGACTCCCTTGGCCTGGCTGCCCTTTCAAGGCCGTTTCACTAGCCGACGCGTTTCAGCCCCTACAAGTGGCACTCTTGTGCAAGCGGTCCTGGTTGCGTCATGGGGCAGACGCGGGTGCTTCCTGTTGCCTTGCGTGGGTGTGGGGCCTGGGAGGAGGCCAGGGTGTGGACCCGCCCTAGGAACTGGGAAGTGACTTGAGTCACCTCGCCCCCACAGGCTGCTATGGTTGAGCCGGACTTCTGCTGAGAGCCTGGACTGAACCGAACAAATCTTTGTGCGGTCAGCGGAGCGTCTGGAGACCCCCGGAAATGTCAGCATAGACTGATCGCCCGGCGTGGACCAGACAGGGCGACTGGTCGCAGTTGCTGTCCTCGTCGGGCAGGAAGGGAATTTTTTCTGCCAGCGCGTTTATGAAGTCTGTTTACCTTTCCTATGGTGGGTTGTGTTTAACCCCCATTTACTTGGCGTTTTACAATGTCAGCTAAAAAAAATAAAAGATCGAGCAAAGAACGCTGCTGTCTGGCTTGCTTTTCTGGAGGGGGGAAGGGCGGGGTTAAAGGGTCAGAACTGGCAACCGCTCCCTAAGCCTCGGGAACTGGTTTGACCAGGTGCCGAAAGGGAGGGAGGCCGGGTCCCCATTTCTTAGCTTAAATTTGCAGGCTGCTGCTTAAGCTAACCCTGTGACTTGGGGGGATTCCTTAGAAATTAGTATAAACTCCGGGGCCCAGCGAGTAGGGAAAGTTTACAACATTTATGGGATACTGGGTGCAGTGTTTGAAGAGAAGCTGGAGAATTTTTAATGACAGCGTTGTTCTCTTTCCCTCCCCTCGACTAGAACGCGTGGAGTGGCAGTGACTGAACTTTGAACATGCCCTTATCCGATTTCTTTAGTGCCGCTTTATGGCTTCAGGCTGATAAGTGAGTGCTAACTTATAAGTTACCTATCTAGGCCGGGCATTGTGGCACATGCCTTAATCGAGCTCTACCTCTCAGCTAAGGTAGAGAGGCCCACCAGCCTTTAATCCAAGCAAAAAGCAAGGCAGAGGCGGGCGGATCTCTAAGTTAGAAGCTAGCCTAGTTTTCGTGGTTAGTTCCAAGTCCACGCAAGCTGTAGTTAGCCTTGATCCTTTCCAGCGGCGGGTTATCCAAACAACACGTAGTAAACTAATTCCTCTCCTTTGGTTTCGGACAAGCTCTAGGCATAACCTAGGGGCGGAGCGGGGGTGGGGGGGCCTCGAGACCCTAAGGACAAAGGAACCGCAGGTGCGGGAGGCTTAAAGAAAGCGCGCCCGACAGCTGGCCCCTCCCCCTCGGGCCTCTTCTGACCCCGGGGCTGAGGGCGGGAGGAGGGGGTTTGCAGTGGAGTGGCGGGCAGACAGCGAAACTCCCTGGAGCATCCGGAGCATCCCAGCCCCCAGCCTCTCCTCGCTCCTGGGAAGTAAGGGTAAAAGCGAGCGCTACCAGGGGTCCCAGCGGAGCCCGGCTCCCAGAACTCCTGATTCCTAGTTGAAAATCTGAAGGATCCCTAGCCTCGGTCACTGAGTCTAGATGTTTGAGTTCTCGGGGGCTCTTGGGCACACAGGAACGTGGCCAGGCCTGGGAAGTCCCTGGTGGCTAGGGAGGGGGCCTCAGAGCACATCCTGTCCCAGGAACCGCAGGGCCCTTCCTTCCCTGGGAAGTGGTTTGTCCGACCCCCATTCGGACTCCGGCTTCCGGTGCCGCAGCCGCTGTGGGGTGGGGACTGAAACCCTGTTCCCTACACGTGTTAACCTTTTCTTAGGAGGAAACCAGCTACATGAAAAATTGTCATTATCAGAACCTGTACTCCCAACACTTGAGAGTTCAAGTCTAACCTAGACTGTCTCATAATAAATCAATATTAAATAGGGTGTGGGGGGGCAGGAGGTTCAAAGTCATTCTTAGCTTCAGAGTTGGGGCCACTCTAGATTCTATGAGACCTTTTTTGTTGTTTGTTTTTTGAGATATGGTTTCTCTCTGTAGCTTTGGAGCCTGTCCTGGAATTCACTCTATAAGCCAGGCTGGGCTCGAACTCACTGAGATCCACCTGCTTCTGTCTCCTGCCGAATGCTGGTATTAAAGGCACACACCACTACCGCCCGGCTGCATGAGACCTTTTGAAGACACTCAAAGCCCTGTGATTACTGAGGAAATGCTAGATGAGTAACCTTAACTTTCAGAAAAACTACCGGAAAATCTCTCTGAATCATAAACACCCCTGAATCAGAAGCCAGCCTTGCTGCTGAGGGAGGTGCTAAAGGTTCCGTCCCCAGCACCTCCCTCTCCCCGCAAAAGTAAAGTAAAGTATGCGAGGTCTGGAATCAGCCCATTAGTTTCAGTACAGGGCCTTTGTCTTTATGTATTGTAGAGCTGTATGTGCATATTGTGTTATTTAAGACATACTGTCCCAGGCTGGAGAGACGGTTTAGAGGCTGGTCCTGGATGCCTTTAATCCCAGCACTTGGGAGGCAGAGGCAGGTGGATCTCCATGAGTTCGAGGCCAGCCTGGTCTACAGAGTGAGTTCCAGGACAGGCTCCAAAGTTACACAGAGAAAACCATGTCT